CTTTATGTATCCCCCAGTTGTAAGTCGCTTTGGATAAAAGCGTCTGCAAAATGACTAAATGTAAATGTTGTCAGCACGACGCACACGTCCAAGTATGCTTTACTTCGAATGGGAATTGCATCATCTCTGTGTGTCTTTTTACATTGAGGTGGGCCGAATTAGCTAATGAACGTACTTCTTCAGCATTGACGGAAGCCAAGTTTATCTTCCATCGTTATTTTTAGTTTTTCACCTCATAACAGTTCTTGTGAAGTTCTCCTTAAATTAACCTGTTTATGCAAAAGTCATTCCTCTCACTGTTTTCTTCATCCTCAGTGCTCTTTATGCGCAGAATTACAGTGGCTTTGGCCTTTTTTCACTCGTTTTATGAAAATATCCATCAGACTTTTTGTCCATACAATGAAATTCAATGGGGGGGCACAGTGTTGTTTTTCAATACAAAAATAAAATAATAATAATAATGTATATGTAATTTCAAAATTACTTATATTGTCTCTGAAGTGTTCTGACAAGCATTTATGGTAACTAAAGTATACTTAAATGTAATTTCTATTAAAACGTGTATGTATCTAAATATGTTTGTAACACATTTGTAATAATGTAATACTCATTTGTAACAATGAAGTTGCAATTTAGTACATTTAAAATATATTCATATTAAATGTAAAATTGAATAACATGCTACAGTTAAAATGATAATCAAGTACTTTACAAGTGCTTTAGTAGGTTAGTCAACACAGCAAAATAAGTACACATCTTTAAAGCATGAATTTAAAATGTTTAAAGTAAAGCATTTATTTAACATTACTGTTAAATTTACAGTAATTAACAGTCATATTAATTATTTTACTTATTTAAATAATGTTTTATATGTGAGTACAAATAAAAAAATTAATATATATATATATATATATATATATACACTTTTAAAATTTTAAGTAGGGACTACATGAGTGTGAAATATCACTTTAAAGTCGGCATGAAATCAAAATGTACTTTACTAGCGCACATTGCTAGTCTTGATGAGAACAATTAATCCGTGCAAGTTAATCCGCTGAATCCGCTGAATTTGTCTTCATAATCTTTACTGAAATAAAGTCGGCAGCAACTTCCGGTTCACGCGGACTTTAAGTCGGATCACTTGAAGTAATAGCATAGCCTACTCTCCTCAACAAGGTTTGAGTTACCATTGTGCATGAGGGGTTATGTGCTAAAGGGTTAAGAGTTTGTTCAAATCCCTAGCATTAAATAAGCAACAGTAACAGTGATACTCACCTCCACTAACACTGCTCTTGAATAAAATTTGCAGCTAACACTGAAAATATTAAGATAATAATAATAATAAGTAGGGCTGGGCGATAAATCGATAACGATAATTATCGTGCGATATCAATTTCCTCGATAAATCATAACAAGAGGTCGATAAATTTTCGATATAATGTTTATGAGGCAAAGGCGGAGCGAAAGAGCACAACTCATTAGAAGCGCATCACTCGGACCGTTTATCCACTCGGATCAAAGTTTAAACGGCGGCGTGTCACTACTCGATCCGTACCGGAAACACGATTTGTACTGCGCATGCGTGAAATTGCTTCCACTTCCTGTCACCGCCAACGTTTTTACGACAGTCTAGCGATATGTATTCTTTGGCGTTCTATATACAGCTTCAAGAATTTCTCTTAAAAGGATCAATTCCTGACAATTCTGCAAATCGTCGGAAGGTTAGACGGGCGTCGACGAATTTTATCATTAAAGGGGTCATATGATGCTTTTTTAAAGATCATTATTTTGTGTATTTGGTGTAACAGAATATGTTGACATGCTTTAATGTTCAAAAAACACATTATTTTTCAAATACTGTACATTATTGTAGGTCCTCTATGCCCCGCCTCTCTCAAACACTTCGTTTTCTACAAAGTCCCTCCTTCCGACAAGCGCAGTCTGCTCTGATTGGCCAGCTGACCCAGTGCATTGTGATTGGCCGAACACCGCAAGCACTCATCGGAAATGTAACGCCCCTTACCATAATCGCGAGCTTCAGCTTTCAAAATAAATGTAAAGACAGAGCCCGAAAGGGGAACAGAGTCGCCTGACAGACACAGTGATGAAGCTGGTATGTGTTTGCAGTAAACAAGCCATGGTTAAGACAGCTGACTCCACTGTGATATGACTCCCCCCTCTCTCTCTCTCTCTCTCTCTCTCTCTCACACACACGCACGCGCGCGCACACACACACACACACACACACACGACGCGCCACACACACACACACACACACACACACACACACACACACACACAACGGGCGTCGACAAATTTTATCATCAAAGGTAACTATTAGTACCGAAAGATTTTATAATGAAAAAGAGAATTGACTCTGTTACAACCTGGTCCATGTGCTAGTGATGGGCAAATGAAGCCTCATGAAGCACTGAGGCTTTCCTCTGACTGTTTCGGGAAAAGATTCAAAGCTTCACGAGTGTCAAAAATAAAAAATAATAAAAAATATAGCAGCCAAAAGCCTGTGAAAATAGTGTGTGTGTGTGTGTTTGTTAAAATTCTCTCTCTGATAAAATAATTTACCCATTATA